TAGGAATCCTGGGTCCCCACTCACAGCCTGTGTGTGACCCTGGGCAAGTCATGGCATCTGAGCCTGAAGATCTTCCCATCTGTAAAATGGGAACATCATAGTAAGCCTCTACCTCCCTAGGTTGTGCCGAGGACTCAGTGATATCCTGCATAGAAAAGGCTTGTGTAGGAGTTATCTATGGCGGTGTAACAAGTTACTCCCAAACCTCACAGTAAATGTGAAATAGTAAACATGTATGATGTCATACAAGTTCTGAGGGGCAGGAATCCAGGAGTCACCTCGCTGCATGGTTCTGGCTCAGAGTCTGCTGCTGTATTCACATGTCGGCCAGGGCTGCAGTCATTTGAAGGCTTGACTAGGGGGCTCATCTCCATGGCTGTTGGCAGGAGGCCTCAGTTCCTCACCACATAGACTTCTCCATTGGACTGCTTGAGCGTCCTCCAGAAGAAGAGCCAGCATCGGAAGTCATATGGTCATTTCTGCGATATCCTATTGGTTGCACACATCAGCCCTGCTCAGTGGGAAGGACAAGTCAAGGGCGTGGAGACCAGGGTGAAAATGATTGAGTGCTGCCTAAGACACCCATAGATTCTTAGGATTTGATGTTGTTTTTGCTTTTATTGTTATTATCAGCACTGAGCCTCCCCACGACCTTTCCATCAGGTCCTGCATAATCTTAGTCCACTTTCCCCCTTGATCATTCCACTCCAGTCACCCTGGATGCCTTGTTTTTCCTCCAACAAGAAAAACCTATTCCAGCCTCCAGGCCTTTGCACCTGCTGTTCCCTTTGCCTGGAAAAGCCTCAACCTTGAGATCTTCCCATGGCTAGGAAACTTGGCAGCTCCAAGGTCACCTCCTTCCTGAGAGCTCTTCCTTGATCGTTTATCTGAATTAGATGCATCACACTCACTCCGAACCTCATCATTATATTATTCCACTTAAGTTTCTTCAGAGTTCTTGAGATTCTCTGAAAGCATTTTGATTTTCTAAAAAAATCTACTTCTTTGTTCACCGCCTGTTTCTCTGACTCGAATCTGGAAGTGCTCTCTCGTGAAGGCAGAGAAGCTGCATGTCTTATTTCTTGCCACATCTCTAGTTTCTAGTGCATGGTAGACTCTCAAAAACTATTTGCGAATGAACAGTAGGTCCTTAATTTATAATAAATAGAAGAAGTCTCTCCCAGATGAGAGAGAAAGAGAGAGAGAGAGCCAGCTGAGGGTGTGCAACAGCTTCCCTGGGAAGTGATGTTTGAGCTGAAACCATGGAGGAGGAAAGGGGTTAGCTTGTTAGAGGGGGCTTTGAACTGGGGAGAGGCATTCCTGGCCCAGGGAACAGCTTATGTGAGTGTCCAGAGAGGCTGCAAGCTTTTCTGAGACATCTTAAAGAGGGCAGCAGGGGGCCATGGAAAGGTTCTCATGTCTTTTTCTTTTCTTCTCTTTTTTATTTTTATTTTATTATTATTTTTTTTAATTTTTATTGGGGAATTGGGGGGATGGGAACAGTGCTGGGGAATTGGGGGAAGGGGAACAGACAAGTTGCTGTCCTTTTGTTATTCAGTCTAGTTATGGAGGACGTTGCTTCACTGGCCCAAGTTGGCACCATCATTGCGCTCTTCCCNAACTATCCAAATGTCTGTCAACAGATGAAAGGATAAACAAACTGGGGTGCATCTATTCCTCAGCAATAAAAAGCAGTAAACGCTGGGCATACATAATAACATGGGTGAATAGCATAATAATCTGAGAAAGGAATCAAGCTCAAAGCAGTACACACTATATGATTCTACTTCTATGAAATCCTAGAAAAGTTAATATTATAGTGGCATGAAGCAAATGGTGGTTGCCAGGAGCTGGGGATCAGCAGACAGAATTCACTATAAAGGAACACAAGGATATCTTTAGGGGTGCTAGAAATGTTCTATATCTTGATTAGGGTAGTGGTTCCATGACCATCTACAATTGCCCAAACTCACCAAACTGTACACTTAAAATGGGTGAATTTTATAGTATATATATATATGATATATATATATATAAAATATATAATATATATGTTATATATATGTTATATATAAATATGTTATATATACTATATATTGTATATAGAGAATATATATATATTCCTCAATAAATCAGATGGAAAAAAGAAAGAAAAATGTACTGAGAAGGTACTTTTTGCCAGACACTGGTGAAAGCCAATTCTAATGTTTTTAATTCTCAGAACAACCTACCAGATAGATGTTATTATTATCAGATAGATGTTATTACTATCCCCATTGCACAGCTGGGGAAACTGAGGCAGAGGGAGGTCAGGTGACCTGCCCAAAGTCTCACAGCTAGGAAGAGGTAGAACTGGGATTTCTATCTATTTTGTTGGGAAGCAGCCCCCCAGGACCCTCCTGGCATTTCTCCCTCCCCCCCATTTGTGGTCCCGCCTTTCATTCCTGCTTCTCTCCTCCCTGATTCTTCCTTCTCCTCTCACACTCAGGCCTGAGTATTTCTCTGCTCTCTTTTCCTCTCTCCATCTCTCCCCTCACCCCCTTGTCTCCATCTTCCATCCTGTTGTTCCTGATCTCTGAGCCCCTCCCTAGCTGTTTCCAAGACTAATTTAGCAAATGCCCCAATCCTCTTATCCATGGTCCAGCCTCAGCAGAAAGGCAGGGGAATTAGGGAGGATTAGGTTCAGACGCTTGACCCACCGGGCGGGAACTCCGTGGAGACCAAAGAGTTTTAACTAAGTGATGCCCTCCCACTCCTATCCCCTCCATATGAAATCATGCCTGGGACACACAATAATAATAAAATCATGGCTAAACCCTCTATCAAGCGCTTACCATGTGCACTGTTAGGCACTGTCATTGTGTTTCTCCCTCACTGAAAATTCATTACACCATCATGAGGTAGGAGCCATCCTGCTCCCTTATTTTATGGATCCGAAGGGGTCGAATAAGTTTCCCAATACAAACAGGATCCAGCTGTCTTCTGATGAGTCTCAGGTTAAAGAAGACGAGACAGAGGCAGGGAGGTGAGAATGAAATAGCCCTGGGGCCACACAGCCTTCCAGTGTAACTCCTGTTTGGTGACTTCAAAGAGGATACTTTCAACGCCCTCAAAATATGGAAAAGATGACAGACAGAGAGGGAAACCAAGACGGAAGGGAAACGGAGGGGAAAACCCATTCCTAGGAGGAACAGAAAGCAGGGCCAAGGAAGAGATTAGGTAGGGAAAGAAAAGGCCAGGCATTGTGCAAGGTATTATTTCTTCCCTAAGTATGTGATAGAATTCACCAGTGAAGCACATGATCCTGGAGTTGTTTGTAAGGAAGTTCACTATGTATTTAATTTATTTACCAGATATATAACTGTTCATCTTTCAAACTTTCTTAACAAAGTTGTATTTCTTAAGGAATTTGTCCATCTCCTCCAAGTTGCCAAATTTATTGGCATACATTTGTTCAGAATATTCCAATTTTCATTTCATTTAGCTATAGCATTAAGTGATCGGATAAGAAGAAAGACTAAAATCAACCATTTAACCATTACCTCAAGAAGTTAGGACAGAGGGAAGAAATAGGACAGAGGGAAGAAACAATAAAGATGAAAGCAAAAATAAATAAAATAAAAAATGTACAATAAAAAAAAGACATATTTTGTTAAAAAACTAATAAAATCGATAGCTCTCAAAAACAGTAACAGAGAAAAACAGATATTACCAATGTCAAGAATGATAAAGAGGGCATTACTTAAGATTCTACATTAAAGACATTTATGATCCTAACAGGATATTATGAGCAATTTTATGCTAAGAAATTTGAAAATTTAAATGATAAATTCCTAGCAAAATGTAACTTACCAAAGCAAGCACACACACACACACACACACACACACACACTAGAAAATCTGAATAGTCCTATTAAAGAAGAGTAATCCATAATTGAAATTCTTCACACAAAGAACACTCTATGCCCATTTGNGGACGTGGGAGGTGAGGAAAAAATGGGGAGGGTAAGGCAAAATGCATGATTTCCTCTTGAGTCACTGGGTGTAGATGAAAAAGAAAGCAACTTGCCCCAGGGGATCCGACATGGATTTAGACTCAGTTTAATTGACCCCAGGGCCATGTGCATGACCTTCTGAAACCCACCTCTCCACACCCTCCCACCCTGGTAAGACTCTGAGCCCCAGGACCAATTAGTGCCAAAATTCCAGGAGGAGGTGATACTGTCTCTAATGAACCTGCAAAGACCTCTTCACTCTTCCCTCTTCCTGCATGGCCAGCTGTCCTTCCCTGCTCCAGTGGGCCAGGAGGGTCTGTTATAGATAGGACTGGATTCTCCCATCAAGTCGCCTCCTGACTGGTCACTCAGGGTCAGACGGCCCCTCCCTCTCTCCCTGTCACTCCTGGCTCTTCAAGCTAATAAGACCTGCCCTGATTCCCCAGCCAGGCTGCTGGCCTTAATCTTTCCTAGCAGGAGGTTTGGGGGAAGGCCAAGAAAGAAAAGGGTCCCTTATGGTGAAACACAAGGACCCAGCCACAAGGTGGGATTACCATGATCTCATGCACGTATGTGTGTGTATGCCTGTGGATGCGTGCATGTTTGGGTATATGGGGATCAGGAGCTCAGCAACATATTAATATCCAGAGAGAGACACACAGAGAGGGGGACAGAGAGAAGAAAACACAAAAGGCAATAGAAACAAGAACAATTAGAAGGACAGAACAAGAGAAGTACCAAGATAAGGAGAAAGAAATGAAGGAAAAGTCAGAAAGAAAGAATCAGAGGAAGAAGCAGGGAAAAAGAGAACGAAACGGGAACAGATTGGAGCTTAAGAGGTTGGATAAAGAAGGACAGAGGTACTAAGGGTAGGCTGGAGTTACAGAGAGAGATGGACAGACAGGGAGACAGGACAGAGAGACACAGAGGCTGAGAGAAACAGAGAAAGACACGGATGCCAAAACCAAAACAGACAGACAGAGTCACAAAGAGAAAGAGAATGAGAGACAGAGAATAAGAGAGACCAAGACAGAAATACAAATAAATCAATAAAGACGGGGACAGAGAGAAACAGAGATGGAGAATGAGGAAGGGACACACAGGCAAACTGGCAGAGGTGGCATAGCCTGAGGACCAAAGAAAAAAGAAACTGAGGCACAGAGACCCCAAACAAAGACCAATGACATGGAGAGAGAGAGAGAGAGAGAAAGAGAGAGAGAGAGAGAGAGAGAGAGAGAGAGAGAGAGGAGGGAAACTGAGGCAGAGCAAGAGAACAATGGGGCAGAACGGAGATGAATTAATCGGTAGACTATTGGGGAGAGAAAGGGTGACTTAATAGAGGAATCCAGAGAGCCCTGTGCCCTTATTTTTCAAATGATTTCTCAGGAACACCCAGCATTTCTCTCTTTCCTCTTTGATGGGACAGTAGGCAAAGCTGGAGGGACACCAGTTAGACCTAAGGAAGAACTTCCCTGAGGAGTAGGGTCTCCTGCTCACAGGCAGAATCTGAGACCTCCCTTCCCCATCAGCCTAATTGCCAAGATGTCGTGGTGGAGAGCAGGGGATTAGGCAGACGGGTGCCCCTCCCCCTCCCAGCCAATGTCACCTCCTGGCGCCCAGTCGAGTCCCCCCACACAGGCCAGGATTACCCTCTGAGATCCAGGCCACCGCAAATGACATCACTGCCAGCCGGGGCTTAAAATCTCCCCATGTGAGAGGACCCGTTTCCTTCAGCCTCTGCCATCTGACGACTCTGTCCTGGACGCGGCACTGTCCCTCCTTCCTGAAGGTGAGTGTCTGCAGGAGCACCAGAGGGGATGGAAGGAGAGGGAGCAAGAGAGGGGACAGGAGTAGGCAGAAGTTGCATTCGTTTTAGTCACGATTATTCTCAGTGTCCGGCACAGGGGCTGATGAGGAGTGTATGATGTTTCCAGAACAATGCCACATGGAAAAGAGGTTCCTTCGTGATGTTTAGGGATGGCTTGTGACTACAGCAGGAGAGAGTGAGGGGACACAGGGGGAGTTGGCTCATGGCATGAGGACACTGGAGGATTCAGGGATGGCTTGTTGGTGCGGTGACAGGACCAAGCTCTGCCAGTTTCCAGGGCCAGGGGCTCCTCACCCTTTTGAACCGTTGAAGGCGCGTAGTACACCTCCCTGTGGCATTGTCAATAAAACTTATCACTGCCCGAAACTTTCTCTTTATTTGTGTATTTATCCACTAATTGCCCATCTTCCCACTTGATTTCCTCCCATGCCTGGCCTGTGATTGGGATGCCTAATTATTTGTTGAATAGATGGATGGATGACACAGAAAGAATTGGAGCGGCACAGCAGGAGAGAGGAAGGGTAGACTGACTGTGAGACTGCCCAAGGGGACAAGGAATGTGCTGATTGGGGGATCACAATGCTGGCAAATTGATTGCTTGGGGACCTCACTGCTCCCAGAGGCTCCAGCTTTCCCCATGTCCCATCTTGGGTAGTGACATGTGCATCTCAGTTCCTTGTCTCACTGATGGTGAAGTCCATGGGGACCGTAAACATCCGACCTTGAAGGCTGAGCTGGGGGTGTCTTGTCAAGTCCTGGTGTGGAGTCACATGAGTCTGGGTTTAAAGCCTGCCCTTTCAGACTGTGTAGGGTGGGGGCCTTCATGTGACCTCTCTGGGCCTCAGTTTCCTCAGCTGCAAAGTGGGGACAATGATAAGAAGCCATGATGATCCGGTGAGACAAGCCAGGCAAAGCCCCTGTCACAGGCATGGGAGGGGGTTGGCCTCATTCTGCTTTGGGGCCTCACGGGTAGATTTGGGGGTCAAGAGCAGGGCTCTGGAGCCTGACCTATCTGGTTTCTATTCCCGGCTGTGCCACACACACCCCCTAATGTCACCTCGAGAATTGACAGAACCTCACTCAGCCTCAGTTTCCTCATCTGAGAAATGGACATCTGAGTTCCGTGGGGCTGTGGTGAGCATCCTAAAAAGCC